CACCCCATCGTGGTTATCAGGGACATTAAGCTCTTTCTTGTATAGTTCTTCTGTGTAATCTTGCCACCTTAATCTCTTCTGCCTCTGTTAGGTCCCTGCCAATTTGGTCCTTTATCATGCCCATCTTTGCATGAAATGTTCCCTTCATATCTCCAATTTTCTTGAAGAGATCTCTGGTCCTCCCTATTCTATTGTTTTCTTCAATTTCTTTGCACTGTTCATTTAAGAAGGCATTGTGATCTCTTCTGATCTCTGGAATTCTGCATTCAATTGGGTGTATCTTTCTCTTTCTCCCTTGCCTTTAGCTACCCTTCTTTCCTCAGCTATTTGTAAAGCTTCCCCAGACAGCCATTTTGCTTTCTTGCATTTCTTTTTCTTTGGGATGGTTTTAGTTGCTACGTGTTGCACAATGTTGTGAACCTCGGTCCATAGTTCTTCAGGCAAGATCTAATTCCTTAGATCTATTTGTCACTTCTACTGTATATTTATCAGGAATATGATTTAGGTCATACCTGAGCGGCCTAGTGCTCTTCCCTACTTTCTTCAATGTAAGCCTAAATTTTGCAACCAGAAGCTCATGATCTGAGCCACAATCAGCTCCTGGTCTTGTTTTTACCGACTGTATAGAGTTTCTCCATCTTTGGCTGCAGAGCACATAGTCAATCTGATTTCTTTGTTGACCGTTTGGTGATGCCCATGTGTAGAGTCGTCTCTTAGGTGGTTGGAAAAGAGTGTTTGCTATGACCATCGTATTCTCTTGACAAAATTCTGTGCCTGTGCCCTGCTTCATTTTGTACTCCAAGGCCAAACTTGCCTGTTATTTCGGCTATCTTTTGGCTTCCTACTTTAGCATTCCAATCCCCCATGATGATAAGGACATCATTTTTGGGTGTTAATTCTAGAAGGTGTTGTAGGCCTTCATAGAACCGGTCAACTTCAGCCTCTTCAGCACCAGTGGTTGGGGCATAGGCTTGGGCTACAGTGATGTTGAATGGTTTGCCTTGGATTCGAACGGAGATCATTCTGTCATTTTGGATATTGTATCCCAGTACTGCTTTTCCTACTCTTTTATTGAGTATGATCCATTTCTTCTGAGGGATTCTTGCCCGCAGTAGTATACCTGATGGTCCTCTGAATTAAATTCACTCATTGCTGTCCATTTTAGTTCACTGACTCCTAAGATGTCGATGTCCAGTCTTGTCATCTCTTGTTTGACCACATCCAGCTTGCCTTGATTCATGGGTCTTACATTCCAGGTTCCTATGGAGTATAGATCTTTGCCGCATTGGACTCTCCTTTCACCACCAGATGCATCCGCAACTGCGTGTCCTTTTAGCTTTGACCCAGTCGCTTCACTCTTTCTGGCGCTACTAGTACTAGCCCTCTGCTCTTTCCCAGTAGCATATTGGACACCTTCCAACCTGAGGGGCTCATCTTCCGGCGTCGTATCGTTTTGCCCTTTGGTACTGTCCATGGGGTTTTCATGGCAAGGTTTCTGGAGTGGGTTGCCATTTCCTTCTCCAGTGGAGCGTGTTTTGTCAGAGCTCTCTGCTATGATCTGTCCATCTTGGGTGCCCCTGCACGGCAGAGCTCATCACTTCATCGCACTACCCAAACCCCTTCGCCACGGCAAGGCAGTGATCCATGAAGGGGATATCAGTATTAATGCACAAAAGCTAAAGCTATGGGGTATTTTACACCATGCATCTGCCATGGCAGCAGCCATTGGCCCTCCTACCAGAAGATGGGGCTCTGCCCAGGTTCTCGCACCACGTAGTACTCCTTGCCCTGCGGCAGGATTTTGGCCAGGCCGAAATCACCGATCTTGACGCGGTTCTCATTCTCCACCAAGATGTTCCTGGCAGCCAGGTCCCTGTGGATGTAGCGCTGAGCACCCAGGTAATCCATGCCCTGTGAACAAGACACTCCTCAGGGGGTGTGGTCTTGGGGGACTCCCCCCCTGCTCCCCTCCAGGCCCTAGACGAAGGGGCTACCTTGAGGCAGGCCTGGCATCTCACACAGGGTGGAGCAGGGCAACTGGAAGGTGTGCAGGAAGGGACTGACCCCATCCTGGCCAGCCGGGCCCTCTCCGGACATGCTGGCCCGTCGGTCACCACCAGCCTCCTCCAGGTGACCCAGCCCGGACCCCTCTGACCCCACGCAGTGCCCCGAAGGCCACGTGCTGCCCCAGAGCATCACAGAATGGGGGCCATGAGGTTGTCGGGTCTGCACTGAGGCCAGCAGGCCTTGCCCCTGGTCTGAGCATCTCCACTTGTGCCCCGGCCAGACAAGAGAAGCCTCCTGTCTGGCCCCGCAGGGCTGTGCTTGTGCTCCCATAAGATGTGACACAGGCAGTGCTGCATGCACCATGAGTGGACGCTGTGCAGCTGCCCCAGGCCAGGATCCATCCCCCTGTGCTTCCTGTCATTCTTTAGGGCTGGGAGCACCTCGGCCATGAGCAAATCCAGACATCTCACCTTGCAGACCTGCCAGGCATAAAGAAGCAGCTTCCGCAGGTCCAGCCGCTCCTGGTTTTTCTGCAGAAAGTTCCTCAGGCAACCATTGGGCAGGTACTCCATTACCAGATGGAGGCAGTTCCGGCCTGGGGTAGGGAATGTGCCACATAAATCTGGGGAAGGGAATAAAACCGCTGCCTTCCACTGATTAACACTGGCAGAGAACGCCACCCCTTCCTGTCCACAAAGACCACGTGAAGGACGGGGAGAGGCTTCCCACTTCGAAGCAGCATGAAACATGCTTTGGAACACACGCTGCTGCACGTTTTGCCGCAGAGCCCTGCGACCCCAGCATGTGGGGATTAGCCACACCCACGCTGGGGAAGCCACACAGCACAGTGTGCTGTGATGAACAAGATCAGCATAATCTAAGGAGTGCATTCTTGCAGGGCAGTCGCTGGCAAACGGGATTCAGGTTAGACCAAAGTGCCCCATTTCTAGGAAAGCATGCAAAAGAGAGCTGATGCTCCGATGGAAAACAAGTCCTCGTCATTATCCACACTCGAGGGTGGGGAGCCGCCGTTTCCTTCCTAGTTGCCTCCCGTCCTGTGGGAAACAGGGAGCCATCCTTGCTGATCTTGGCACAGTTCTGTCTAGCAGGGCCCTCCTGCCCTTCCGTGAGCCACTTCTGCCTCACCCCCCACTTGCAGGCACCTTTGTGAACGCATGTGCTCTGCGCACTGAGTCCCTTTTAAGCAGCCGGATCTTTAGATGTATGCATTTTGTGTCCATGGTTTAAAATATGCACACTTTTCCCTGCACGTTTTTGTGCAGGGTGAACTGCCACACAATGCACTGTGCAGGATGCACGATTTGTACGGGTGTCCCTGTGGATTGTACTCCACGAACGGTGCTCATCCCTGTGAGCCAGTGCTGTCCAAAGACGATTCCGTGGCCATGTGTCCAGCATGGCATGGTGGAGAGCAGCTACCTTCCTGCCGAATTCGTCTATGCGCATTACATGCTTTCGAACTGCTAGGAGCCAGGGTGAATGACAGGAGCTCACTCCGTCTGGCAGAGGCTGGCTTGAACTGCTGGAATGCTGACATTTTCTGGCCAACAGTTCCAACATTAAGCTGCTGCTTCTCTGCACATTGCATAAACCTCAATTATTTGTGTTTGGCGTTGGGAGGTCGATTTGGTACGTTTCCTTTGGCATGTAAAATAATCCAGCGCTCACCCAGTCCAAGGAACAGCTGTGCCCCCCGCCCCCCGGCCTCACCCCAGCTGTAGCAGACCCCGCGGTAGGCGACGATGAAGTCATGGTGCAGGGTGCGCAGGATGGCAATCTCCCTGTCGAAGTCCTGGCGCTGCTCGGCTGAGTTCTGGTGCAGGCGCTTCACTGCCACCAGCTCGCCAGTGCTGTCCCCCAGTGGGTCATAGCGGCACAGCTCCACACTCCCGAAATTCCCCTGCAACAGCAGTGCACGTGTCTCGGGGGAGGATCTGGGCCCCGAAGGGAGCGGCTCTGGCCCCGGCAAGCTGATCGGGGTACTGCTGCCGTCAACCCCCACTGCTCTCAGGACATAGGACCTCAAGCCCCTCCTAGCAGGTCCTGATCCCTTGCCTCCCAAAAGGAGGCAATCCAAGGAGAAGGCCCCCACATGAGGTCTTCCCAGTTTGCCTTCTGGGAAATGAGGGCTTCGTGGTTGGCCGCACCCACCTTGGCAGCCCTTTCGTGACGGAGCGAGTCTTGCTCCCGAAGGCTGCCTTGAGGGGGCAGCCATGCCCCCTCTGACCCAAAGGGGGCCAGATCGGTCACGAAGTGCATCCCCAGGGGTGCATGCCACCTACCTTGCCCAGCAGCGAGATGTATTTCAGGTGGCGATCCTCAAAGAGGGTGGGATCCTGGCACAAGGAGGGATCCATGTACCCTGCAAAGTGGTCAGTGGCTGGGAGGTCTGATAGAAGCTCGTAATCTGGGGTGAAGGGACAGCAGCAGTTAAAGGGCAAGAAAAGGTTGTGATGGCAGGCAAAGTGCCTGAGATAGAGAGCCAGTGCGGCGCTGTGGTGAACAGTCTGGGGCTGGGACTCGGGCGATCCGGGTTCGAGTTCCCGCTCAGCCACGGAGCCAACTGGGTGACCTTGGGCCAGTCACAGACTCCCAGCCCAGCCTACCTGACAGGGTGGTTGTTGTGGGGATAAGGTGGAGGAGGAGAATGATGCAAGCTGCCTTGAGCCCCTTGTGGGAAAAAGGCAGGATATAAATCGAACAATAAAATAATAAATTTGGCATACAGTGTGTGGTTGCTGCACAACTCAGCCAGCTACAGAGGATGTCATGGAACACTGGATCTTTCGGGAAGGGAACGTGTGTCCAGGGACATCAGCGGTCTGATGGAAAGCAGGGGGGCCACAGGCAAAGCCAGGAGCACGTCTGGATCAAGGACCCAGCAGGATAGGGCAGCGGCAGAGACAGAAAGGCAAATGGCAGAAAGGCAGAGCCAGGGACAAGCGGGGCAGATCAGGAGGCAAAGGCAAGCGGAGGGCAGATCCTGGCAAGCCACAGTAGGGTCAGGGGCACGGCAGGATCAGAGAGGACGAAGGATGGGTTAGAGCAAAGGCAAGGCGGAGGCCAGACTGGAAGCGGGATCAGGAGCACAAGGCAGCGGCTGTGAAGGTCCGTTGCACGGCAGCAGCCAAGACGAGCCGTGCGGGGAGGCCTTGTGGGGACCTTCCAGAGCTGCCCTTGGTGGCTTGATCCTCACAAGCACCTACAGGTGCGCCCCTCGTCTTATGGGCTCTTGCCACGTGAAACCTGCTGCTCGTTACTGGGGGAGCTGAATCATGACTTCAGATCCTTGCTGATACAGCTTTCCAGGCCTTGGTAACATCATATCTGGACAGCTGCAAAGTGCTCTGGGTTGGCCCATCCTCAGCACCTCAGTAGCAAATTGGTGGGTGGAATCGGGACACGGCATACTACGCCTGTTCGGGAAGAGCTGCACTCTGGGCTCCATTCTCGGTTTTTGATGCTAGCCTTCAAAGTCCAAACAGCTCAGGACTGGGTCATGGTGCACTCGTCTGTAGATCAAGGAATGATCCTTCAGGGGGGTCATGACTCTGGGGACCCCTTTGCTGGGCATGCCGTAAAAGGCTTTCCCTTGTCACCCCACAAAATGGAATATGCACTAGCCCTGACTCTGTGGGTACTTGGAAATGGTGTGAAGAAGCATCTTTTCAAATTAGGCCTTTATTGTCTTCAATGTTCTTGTTTTTATTGGTTTGAGGAGCTACTGGATGCTGCCTAAGGATGCTGGAGAGATTGGCCACAGATTCTACTGTGTCTGGATTCCTGTGAATTGAACCTGCAACAGGCTGGCTTTTTCCTAAGCTGTGTGGGCTCTGCAGACTGTGGGCCATTTTTAAATTGTTAGGCTGCATCTGAGGGATTGCACCCTTGCGCTCATGCACATGGATGCCACGGTGCACCTGTGCGCACGGGACACAATTCTGTACATTTGTAAAATGTGCCTGATACCTGCACAGCCCTCACATTGTGGGAAACCAGGGGTTCAGGCAGCTGGGCTGCTGAGGCCACCGAGAAAGGCAGTTCTGCTGACCTTAAAAGGGGGCTTGACAGCAACTAAGGTGGCTGCAGGGTTCCAGGGAAGTCTGCCTTCTACACACCATATTGGAGGGCACGGCTGGCTGCGCCCGGAGCCAGGACCACCATCCCGCCCCTGCTCCCCTTCCTGGATCCTTGAGCTGCCCATTGCAGACCCTTGACACTTGCATATTACGGCGGCAGGGATCCCCCTGTCCCCCGCTGCACCTGGGCACCCTGCTTGGGCCACTGCCACGCCTGCAGACTTACCGGAAGTGGTGAGGCTGTTGAGCTCCCGCATGATGGCACGGAAGGCTGGGCGCCGCCGTGGGTCATACTGCATGCACCGGCCCACCAGGCCAGCCAGCTCTGTCCACCTGAGAGGGCACAGTTGGCCACGGTCCTGGTAGAACTTGAGCTTCTGCAGAAATGGGCAAGGGAGGGGAGAAGGGAGCAAGTTCATGCATGCGCAGAGTGACAGCATCCCAGCCCTGCTCTCTGGCCAGACATCAGGTAAGGAAAATACCAAGACTGTTCCATTCCTTGGGATTACAATCTAAAGGTCATGACACAAAAGGAAAAACAACTGAGGTGGAGGAGGAAATGAATAGTATAGCCTAGATAGCTATTAGTTGCAAAACCTTTCTGGGTGTTCCTTGGAGCAGAGAAGGGTGAAAGCGGCCCTGTGTGTGTGTGTGGGTGGGTGTCATGTTCCCAGAGTGGGGGAGTGGGAAGGACTCCTTGGCCAGGAAGGGAACTGTGATCATATGGCTTTTAAAGGGTTGGCCAGTGTGCTTAGATAGAACTGCACGAGAAGCTTTGCTTATGGTGAGAGTTTTCTGGACTGCAAGCCCATTTTGAGACTGAAATAGACACTGAACTCTCTGGGACCTACTTCCATGTAGACGTATCTGGGAGAGTCATGCTAGTGACTTTTTCTTGCTATCTCCCTGATAGGAAAAAAAAGTTATATTCTTTGCCATATAGAAGCAGAGGGGGTTTTAGGGATTAGGAAGCCCTTGTGAGACAAAGATGTCAGGGCATCTCTGGCAACTTGCTCTTCCTGATATGAGGGACTAGAACCCTCACCAGTGCTGGGGATGATGGGGGTTGTCCTCTAACACATCCCAGGAGATACCAGGCTGCAATGTCTGTGCCTCAAGGCCAAGAAGCACCTTTTCTTTAACTGTCCAGAGAATTAAGACGCATAAGGGGTCCAACCCCCTGCTGTTGCAGGACACCAGTTTATGCCCTCCCACTCTGATGAGGTGGGATGAGGTCCTTTCCCCCCAAGAGCCGGCTGGAGTGATGCCCCTGCATCAGGAATGCCTCCCCGCTGCCCCGAGACTGACCGCTTGGGGTTCCATGGCACTCCACGGCATGTTCCCACCATTGAAGATCTCCCACAAAGTGGCTCCGAAGCTCCACCGGTCTGACTCAGTCGCCAAGTTCTTGGCATCTTCCAGGCACTCGGGGGCAATCCACGGGATGCGTTCAACTAGCACTGAGGCCATGGCAGAGGGGAACAGGCAGGTTGGCACAGCCCCTTCCTGCTGGGGCCTCCCCATAGTGCTGCAGCGCACCTTCCGTCTTTCCCGGGGGCAGGGCATCCCCGAAGCCAGAGGGTTTGCTCCTTGGATGGGAAGCAGCCACAGCCTCGTAGCCCATCCCGCCTCGCACAGCCCTTGGGAGTGGGGAGCGGGTGCCCCACCGTCGGGACCCAGAGCGTGTTTGGTCTGTGATGAAAAGGCAGCAAACTGGCATGAGTGGATTGAGGCAGTACCTTAGTTCAGATGTAGACAGGTCTGCTCGCCCTAACCCTAAACCCCACTGAGATCGCTGGGGTTTAAGGCATCCATGACTAACAAAAGACCTACTGGCCCCAGTGGGCTCAAGTCCCGGCCGACTGCGGTTTCATCATGTCCAGCCAGCATAGCGGCCCCACGCAGCGCAGACTGCTGTTGCCGGTGTCCCTCGAGTGTTGCATCCGCCCTGGGTCATTATCCAAGCTTCTGAGGAGCCCTGGTGCTGACCCACCTTGGGGACAGGTCTTGTGTGCTGAGTCCAGCACCATGGACTGCACCCAGAAGTTCAGGCTACTGCCAGGGATGGCAGGACCCACTTCGCAGCCCCAGCGGCTGCCGGCCCAGCACACCTGGCGGCGTCCGATTGTGGTCCGTGTGCAGGGCTTGTGCATCTGGGCCCAACCCCTTTCTGGCACAAGGCCACTTTGGACAGAGTGCAGAGCCTCGGACCGGGGCATATCTGCCCCTCTGGCAGACCCTGAGGGCCATGTCCCTCCTGCTCATTCCCAAGCTGCTTCCCAGCTTTCTCCCCGTTGGAAAGTTTGGAATGCCGCTCCCAAGGTTTAGGTCCCAGCAGTAAGAGCTGCACACTAAAACCCACGGGCCGTCTTGTAGTTTTAGTCCTGCCTCTCCTGGTCTGCCCACCCTGAGCCTGACGGCTTGGGCAATTGCCTGGTGGTGGTGCTGCCAGGGCAGGGCAGGCTCCCGTACTGGGCCACACTCCGCGACATGGGCAGGAAGCCCCAAAGCCAGCAGCCAGCGCAAAGCTAGCTGCATCATGGGCATGACCACCAAGAGAGCCCTCAAGGCCCGGAAGCGGCAGAGTCCCCCTGGAAAAAGCCGAGTGCCTGGGGCAGGCGCACACGCAAGGGCCAGCCACTCACGGTCTTTCGCCAGGGCGGTGGTGCTGACGCCAGGGTCACTGAGCTTGATGAAGGGGGTCTGCCCTCTTGCCGCATCTCCCTCACGGGCCAGCAGGACTTTTTTGGCAGAGACATTGCCATGAATGGTCTTCTGGTCCTCCTACAACAGAACGAGAGAGAGCGGCTTCCTCAGACATTTGGACCCCTCCTTCGTCTTCTTGCACAGAGCCAACAGAGTGCACAAGCTCATCTCCCGTCCCGTGTTGTCCTCACACCAGCCCTGAAAGGTAGGTTAGGTCATCAGCAACTGGCCCAAGGTTGCCAAACTCCATGGCTGCATGGGGACCGGGGCCTGCACCCTCAAGTCCCGGTCCAGCTCCCATCAATGTTTACCCCAGAAACGTGGCTTAGCCATGGGGTGGTGAATGGCAATGGAGGCAGAATCCACCTGGCTGCCATTGGCCGCCTCTTCCAGAGAGCTCACTGCAGGTGCAGACCGGCCGGAGAGCACAAAGAAGAAAGCTGCACTTGAATGAGTGGAGAAGCCGGAAGCTGCTCGGCTCTCCTCAGAGGCGGCCGGTGCCCACCCGCCGGGTGCCGGGTCCAGAAGAGAGACGTGGCACTCCAGGTCTGGACGGGAGCCGAGAGGGAGCCGAGCTCTGTCCACATGCCTACCAGGAAGTTGAGGGCATAGGCAAGCTGCTTGGCCACCTGCAGCTTCCACGTGGGCGTCACTCCGCCAGCGGCCGTGCTCCTCCGCAAGTACGTGTCCAGGGCGCCGTGCCACACACACTCTTGCACCATGATGCCTGAAAGAAGAGGTGGTACGGTGGCCAGGTCGCAATTAGGGCAGCCGCAGCCCGCCGGCTGTGGTGGGACTACATCCCCCATCAGCTCCAGACAGCATGGCCAATGCTGAGGGGCGACGGGACCATGAGTGCTGGAGCCCGAGGCTGAAACCAGCCTCAGCAAAGCACTCCAGGGCTGCATTCTGCTGGAGCGGCAAGAAAGGCCGGGGCTGAGAGGCCTGCCCCCATTTGCAGTCCGCATCTCGTTCTTGGCGAGGCATTTCAAGACTTCTGAATGAGGAAGAAATTTATGTCTATACCCCGCAATAGCCAAAGCTCTCTGGGCAGTTTGCAACAATTTCGCAAAATACAGAAAAGAGATGCGGTAAAAGCATGAATGCAGGATCATGTGATGTAAAATTCCAGTATACAAACTGGTCCCCAGTGTAGAAAACCAGCTGGGAGAGTAGAGAGTGGAGCCAGGAGGAGCCCCCTGCCCCTGAACCACGCCCCCCAGCCTGGGGATATGGTGGGTGAGAAATCCTATTATTCCCGGGTAGTTCCATGCACTTCTTTATTTGCGTCTCCCTTGCTTCCTGTCCCTCTTAAGTTTTGGCACTTTTCTGAGGATTCTACAAATGCTCGGGAGAAAATGCAGATTAGGCGCACCATACCAATGCACCTCGAGGGTTGTGGATCCTGCCCCCCAGGGCCCGGGTGCCCCAGACCATCAGCCAGGGGGAAACTCACTTTCTGTCCCCACAGAGACACCGTAGAGCAGGACGAGGTGCTTGTGCGAGAGCCGGCTGAGCATGCTGGCCGCCTCGAGGAAAGGCTGCAAAAGGACATCGGCAAATCAGCAGAGCACGTGACCTGCCGGCATCTGGCTCCCCGCACTGATGCTGCTCTTTGGACCGGGGTGTCCTCTTAACAGGCGCTGAGAGCCCAGCAACAGCCGCTGCCCGCAGTGTGTGGAGTCACACAGCCCGTGTGGCTGGCCTGGTGGGGGACGGTGGAGAGGCCCCCCATCGCTGCTTTGCAGCATCTCCCATCCCTCCGTCCCTCCCTTGACAGAACCGAGCTTTTTCGCATTGGTTCCGTACGGATGTGCATCTGCGCTCACGGGCAGTGGAGCAAGGGGGGGATGGCACGCCCCCAGTAAAGGAAACGGCCACAGGTTCTGCTCCTTCTCCCATGGAAGCCGCTGCTTCTCTGGTGAAGATGGGGAAAGGCCCCCCGAGGGATGCCCCCTGCTGCCGAGCCCCCAGCGGCCCCTCGGGTCTCACCTCGACCAAGTGGGAGTGGCTGTGGTCCAAGATCTTCATCACAACTTCAGTCTGGTGGCCCCCGGGCTCCTCCTCCCCCTCAGCGTTTCTGTCCTGCGGATCCCGTTTGAGGCCCCGGTAGATCCGGGTGAAGGTTCCTTGCCCCAGGCTTTCGCACTGCGGAGCAGAAGGCGACACTGGGGCGAAGGGGTGGCTGGGAGAAGCAGGACCCCTTGCCTCCCACGAGGGATTTTCTTTTGGACCATGGGAGGCAAGCAGAGGCCATCACTGCCTCCCCTCACTCGTCGCCTCCCTGCAAGGGGGGGGGGGGTCGCATCCAAAAAATTGCACATCCCTTCAGGAGACAAAGGTCACCTGGCTGCAGTTACTGTTAAATGAGCCCCAAAACGAGCCCCTTCTATTTTAAAAATACAGGAATGGCAGCCCAGAGTTTATAAATAAGTATTACTCTGCATTCTCTTTTCTCGTCTGCACCAATTTTATGCCAGGTTATGCAGTTGTCGGAAGCCAGGGGACACATCCTGCACAGGTGTGTTTTTTTGTTTTGAGCCAGCTCAACTTGTTTTGTGGCAGAGTTACTGCAGGAGCAAGATGCTAGTCCTCATGGGTGGCTCCCTCCCTGCCGCCCTCTCTTGTCTTACCTGCACCAGGTTCTCTGCCTGGATTTTGTGGAACATCATCTGGTTAATGGCACGTCGGGGAATGGCTGGGGAGGTGGGCAACTGGTGGCAGCTGCCCCCACGGACAATCAGCAGGTTGGATTTTTCTGTGGGGATGGAGGGAGGGAGGACGAGGTCTGAGAAGCAGGCCTGGGGCGGTTGGACTGTCCGGGAGAGCCGAGTCGAGTGGCAGCGGCTGTCACTCCCACCCACCACAATTCTTCTGGTCCAAATCTTGCTTACTTTCTGAAACTTGTCCTCACCTCTCAGGGGTCTTATTACCCCAGTGCTTGATCTGCCCCTTGCCTTCCTCTCTTATGGACCGGCAGAACTGCTGGCCTGGAGCAGAATACAGGCTCCTTCCCTCCCTCCCTCCCTCCCTCCCTCCCTCCCTCCCTCCTTCCATCTACCTACCTATTTTATTTCATTTTTATGTTGCCCAGCAGCCCAAAGGCTATTGCCTGTGTAGCTAACAAATCTGGTATCTGCTTCCAACAGGACAGAATCCCTTCCCCACAGTCTGCCACCTTCCCCTAGAAACCAGCATGCCATGGTAGACTATCCCAGGACATGGAGGCTCTCTTTGGTCTTCCAGAGTGGTTCCGCCACTGATCCTGAGCTGAGACCCAGGCCAAGGGCCCACCCAGCCCCAGCTCTTTTTGACAACAATGAGGACTGGCGATCTGACCTTCTCTTGGTAAAACTGGAGATGAAAGGAACAAAGAGAAGGGGGATTGATCGTTGCCCAGGTTTGGCTGCAGGGAGAATCAGGACAAACTGGGGCATCCCCAAGGATGTGACGGAAAGATGGGAAAGGCAGGGTGAGGGTCAGTCTGTGTGTGTGTGGGGGGGGGGGGTGGCAGTCTCCTTGGGGGATGGGGTCGCTGTTGCTGCTGCCCCCCACTTCCTGTCTCTTGGTTCCGGAGGTACCTTTGGCCTGTGGGGGGCACAGGGAGCTGCCGGGGAGGGCGCCGACATGCTGCCAGGTCTCCAGCAGTTCCAGCAGGCTGCAGGAGCTCTTGGCCACCCCAGCGGTGGAGAAGTTCCCATCCCAGTTCCTCTGGATCAGCAGGCTCTTGAAGTCCTTGCCCAACGGGGTCTGAGTGCAGGAGTTGGGAAAGGTGGGGTGAGGCAGGTGGGGGTAAGCAAGTAACTTCAACTGAAAAGCTGCCACTGTTGTCCTCATCATCCTGATCCTCCACCTTTTTTTCCTTTTGCAAGGAACCCAAAGCAGAAAGCATGCTTTACCCTCACAACAACCCTGTGAGGTAGGTCAGGCCATGAGCTAGTGCAGGGCCAAAGCCACCCACTCTCGCCCAGATCTCCCGAGTTCCAGGCCAGCGCTTTAACCACTGCACCACACTTCTTCCCACATTGGCTCTAGAAGGCATGAGGCACTCGGTGCCCAGCAGAATCTCAGGGCCAGGTTGCTTGCCTGGGCCCCGTCCAGCCCACCGTGGTTCCCCACACCTCCTTGCCTCCTCTCCTCAGTGTGGACAGCTGCCTGGCCCCCTGGCTTTTATCAGGACGGCTCCATTCTTGGTGCTCTGGCTACCCCATGACTACCTGAGTTTTTGAAAAATTGCCAGACTGCCTTCTGCTTCCCCATGCGGCCGAGGGCTGAACCTGGCCCCCAGGGAAGACCCCTCCCGCTGCAAGGGAAGGGGGCCCATGGGGCTGCCAAGCAAGCACCTGAAACAGCCAAGAAAAGACAGTTGAAGACAGGTCGGGAGGGCCATGCTTGTGGGGCCTCGTTTGCTTCCAGCAGCCAGCCCAAACCAGCAGAGCACAATCCAGGTATAGAAAACTGTTCAGATAGAGGGAGAGGACCATAAAACTCAATTTTGAGCCTGGCTTATGATTATATCTGCAGGGGCAGAAAAATCACAGCACAGCTTATCGTTCACCTGGAAGTCCGGAGAAACAAACACACTGACTTATAGTGCGTTCCCGAGTCTGGGGGAAAAAGTTAACTTTTAGGGTTCATAAATTAACTCCAATCCAACCCTGTTCAGTGCCATGGGTGCTGGACCTTGTTTCATACTGTCTGTGGGGCTACCAATATAAGAAGCCCCCAGAGTTTGGTGGTTTCTAGGGGAAGGTGGTTTCTAGGGGAAGGTGGCAGACCACCAAGGAAGGGGAGAGGGGAGATGCAAGAGGAATGCCTCCTTCCATTTCAAAGTGCCACCTTAAGGGAGATGGGATAGCTATTTCCTTTCTTGTGCCTGGTGTGTTGAAATGGAGCATGCACAGAGCGCCTTTCCCTCCTGCTTCTCCCCCAATTAGTTCATTTTGGGGTGCAGAGAGTGTGGCTGATTGCCCCTGCTCCAGCGCCCCAGCCCTGTGCCACCCATCACCCTGGAGGGCCTTTGGAACGCCAGCCCTTGTGGCCAGGGAAGCGCGGCAGGTTCGAAGATGAGCTTGCCCTGTGCCATGACTGCAGTCCTCCCAATGCCCTGCTCAGAGAACGCAGCAACAACTCAGTAAGAGCAATAATCCCTCTGCATGTGGCCGGGAGATGCAGGCAAGGCATTCTCACCTCAAGGCAGGTGGTGAGCAGGAAGCTCTCAAAATCTTCTGGGCTGTGTCGAAGGATGTACGCTCCCCTGGGACAGTCTGCCTGCTTCAGTTTGTGTATCGCAAATTCTGACCTGCAAGTGGGTGAGTCTGCATGATTTTCTTGGAAAGGTGCATGCAGACACAGGTGTTACCCCGGCCTAGTTCTTAGTTGACTTCTTTGCATCCCCCCTCCCACCCTGCTGCTCTGAAATCATAGAATAGTAGAGTTGGGAGGGCCCATGAAGGCCATCAAGTCCACCCCCTGCTGTTGCAGGACGCCAGTTCACACCATCCCACTCAGACTGCTGTCCAGCTTCTTTCTGAATGCCTCCAGTGTGGGAGAGCCACCACCTCTCCAGGCAGCTGGTCCCACTGTTGTATTGCTCTGACAGTGAGGAAGCTTTTCCTGATGTCCAGCCTGAATCGGGGTTGCTGCAACTCAAACTGATTATCCAGAGTGCCCTGCACTCTGGCATCAGCAAGGAGAGATCTTGATCTTCCTCTTTGTGACAGCCTTTGAGGTCCTTAGAGAGGGATCTCATGTCCCCGCACATGTCCCCGCTCAGCCTTCTCTTCTCAAGGCCAACACCTTATCTTGGGTTACACAATCTCTCAAGATACCAGCTTGGATTCAGTCCGTGGGCTACGGGATGAAGACTGGACTGTTACATTCCAGGTCTGACTTTAGCACTCAGCTTTGAATTGTAGAACTTTTCTATTTATCACATGCCTTTCATTTCTTACTCACAGTTGCTTATCTCACAATCACCTTGCTTTGCTTGTGTTTTTGAACAGTACTTTTAGCGAGTGTTTATTAGAGCAGGAAGAATGCTGCATTTAATTGTGAAAATAAAAGGAATTGCTGTTTCCTCTTGCATATTTGCATCCAGAGTATTTAGCAGAAAAGCAGGAAAGGAAACGTTCTTTGTGCAGGGCTTGGATCTCAGTTCTGCAGCAAAACCAGAGAGCAGATTAGCAGCCTTATGCAGGAAAGCTCCCAACTGCATTCAGCTCCAGCAAAAGGCTTTTTGCAATATGACAGAAGGGAAATTGAGGCAATTCCATGGTTTTGAACTCTCAATCCGTGCTCTGCTCAGCTGCCAGTGTCTCATTTCTGCTTTGTCTGCTAAAATTTCTGTTCACATAGAAGTCCCCTCGCCACATCTGCATAGCTTTAAGAAAAAATCTTCTGTTTACTTTTATTAGAATTAGAAAGATTCCTATACAGATGTTTAAGAGAGTCATTTATGCAAGGCTGTGAAAACTGGAATCCATCTTTGTTGAGCTTTGCAAAAGGCCCATGGGCTGACCCTCAGCAGCTCTCTGGGTAAGGCTGGGGACAAGTCCTTCCTGAAATCCTGGAAAGCCAGAGCGTGTCAGCCACACTGGCCTACATGGACTGGGGACCTGACCTCAATATAAAACAGCTTCTAGGGTTCCTACTGAATCCAGCCCTTTTCTTAGGACCACTAGAAAGGGATTTGATTTGATTTGATTTTTTTTTTTTTTTTTTGGTGTGAAGGACCATAGCTCAGTTGCTAAGGGTTGGGCTGGGACTGGCAAGGCCAGGGTTCAAATCCCCACTCAGCCAGGAAGCTCACTACAGGATTTGGGTCAGTCACTGACCCTTAGCCAAAACTACCCCTAGGGAAGCCAGGAAAACCTGCCAGGGATTCAAACAGGTTTAGATTTCATGGAATCCTAGGCTAGTATGTCTAGGAATTCCATGCTATGTCTCTGTTCCATGTTCCTGCTCCATGCAGGACTCCAAATTCAAGCATCCAGGACAGGTGGCTGTCCAGCAACCTCTTAAAGGCCCCCAGTGTGGGAGAGCCAGAACCTTCCTAGGTAATTAGTTCCATTGTCCTGCTGCTCTAACAGTCAGGAAATTTTCCCTGGCATCTAGCTGGAATCTGGCTTCCTGTAACTTAAGCCTTAATTCTGTGTACTGCTCTCTCGGGTGATCGAGAAGAGATCTGGCCCTCCTCTGTGTGAAAGTATTTATTTATTTCATTTGAATTAAATATTGAAGTTTTTGAAAAGTGCTATCTTCTCCAGGCTGAACATGCCCAGCTCCCGCAGTCCCTCCTCACAGGGCTTTGTCCCCAGTCCCCGGATCCTCCTTGCTGCCTCCCCTGAACCCTTTCCAGCTCGTCCGCATCTTCCTTAAACTGGGGTGCCCAGAACGGGACACAGGACTTGAGATGGGGCCTAACTAGAGGGAACCAGAACCTTATATGATCTGGAACTATGTTTCTATTAATGGAGCCCAATATAGCATTTGCTGCTTTTTCTTTTTCTTTTGGCCACCACATCACATTGATGGCTCATATTCAGCTTGTGATCTACGACAATTCCTAGCTCCTTCTCACTTTCAGTATTTTGAGCCAAGTATCCCCCATCTTGTAACTGCATTTGGTTCCCTTTTCCTTGCTGAAGAACCTGGCATTTGTCCCTCTTGAATTTCATTCTGCTCTTCTCAGCTCAGTGCTCCAATTTATCAAAATCACTTTGAATCTGATGTGTGTATTTCACCATGGACCAACTTTTTCTCAGTCACATGGCTTTTGCAGAGTGTTTGTTCCTGAAAACGTTGGAAGGGGATTTGTGAAAATGCATACTAATGCTAATGCACATTAGTGTTAACTTACACCCGTGCTAATTCATTTTAGTGCAAACTCAGATTTGCAAATTGAATCTGCTCTCTTTTTCTCTGTCTGTATAAATGGGATTCGGCAATCGGTAAACAAAGAGATGCTGACAAGCTGCAAAACACATTGGGCATCCCTGCAGGTTGTTGACAGGCTACAATGGGGAGGAGGAGCATGTGAACCCCTTGCAAGAGGGTCAAAAATGTGGGATGTAAATGTAGTGCTAAACATATTCAACTAAAAAGAGCTTTCCATGCAAGAAGCCTCCCAAGTTTGATGCCCAGTATGGAAAAGAACCTCTGCTGCTTGAAACCCTGTCTGTTTCTGCTGGCAGGGGTAGACTAGATAACTCTGTTACTGTGTGACTTGGTAGATAAGGTACTTTTCAGAAGTATGGCCCATTTTCCATTATGTCACATCTTTGTGGAATTCTCTCCCTATGAGATCTGTCTGCCACCAACATTGCCCACTCTTTTGAGTTGTGCTTTCTTAGCTTTCCAAGCCTCCCAGGTATTTAGCAGCAGATTGGGGGATGGGGGGAGAGGCGAGGGTGTAGTTTGTCTGATTTTAATTGGGCCTGGATAGTTTAGGCTTCTCCTTCATGGATCACTGCCTTGTCGTGGCGAAGGGGCTTCCGTAGCTCAATGAAGCTATGAGCTATGCTGTGCAGAGCCACCCAAGATGGACAGGTCATAGCAGAGAGCGCTGACAAAACGTGATCCACTGGGGAAGGAAATGGCAACCCACTCCAGTACCCTTGCCATGAAAACCCCACGGACAGTACCAAAGGGCAAAACGATACGACGCCGGAAGATGAGCCCCTCAGGTCGGAAGGTGTCCAATGTGCTACTGGGGAAGAGCGGAGGGCTACTACTAGTAGCGCCAGAAAGAGTGAAGCGACTGGGTCAAAGCCGAAAGGACACTCAGTTGCAGATGCATCTGGTGGTGAAAGGAGAGTCCGATGCTGCAAAGATCTATACTCCATAGCCACCTGGAATGTAAGATCTATGAATCAAGGTAAGCTGGACGTGATCAAACATGAGATGACAAGAATGAACATCGACATCTTAGGAATCAGTGAACTGAAAAGGGCAGGAATGGGTGAATTTAATTCAGAGGACCATCAGGTATACTACTGCGGGCAAGAATCCCTCAGAAGAAATGGAGTAGCCTAGTCAATAAAAGAGTAGGAAAAGCAGAACTGGGATACAATCTCCAAAATGACAGAATGATCTCAGTTCGAATCCAAGGCAAACCGTTCAGCATCACAGTAGTCCAAGTCTATGCCCCAACCACTGGTGCTGAAGAGGCTGAAGTTGACCGGTTCTATGAAGGCCTACAACACCTTCCAGAATTAACACCAAAAAATGATATCCTTATCATCATGGGGGATTGGAATGCTAAAGTAGGAAGCCAAAAGATAACCGGAATAACAGACACGTTTGGCCTTGGAGTACAAAATGAAGCAGGGCACAGGCTGGTAGAATTAATCAAGAGAATACGATGATCATAGCAAACACTCTTTTCCAACAACCCAAGAGACGACTCTACACATGGACATCACCAGACGGTCAACACAGAAATCAGATTGACTATGTGCTCTGCAGCCAAAGATGGAGAAGCTCTATACAGTCGGTAAAAACTAGACCAGGAGCTGATTGTGGCTCAAATCATGAGCTTCTTGTTGCAAAATTTAGGCTTAAATTGAAGAAAGCAGGGAAAGGCACTAGGCCACTCAGGTATGACCTAAATCATATCCCTGATGAATATACAGTAGAGGTGACAAATAGATTTAAGGAATTAGATCTGATAGACAGAGTGCCTGAAGAACTATGGACCGAGGATCACAACATTGTACACCAGGTAGCAACTAAAACCATCCCAAAGAAAAAGAATGCAAGAAAGCAAAATGGCTGTCTGAGGAAGCTCATGATGGGGTGGTCACTGACCTCAAGCCAGACATCCTGGAATGCGAAGTCAAATGGGCCTTAGGAAGTCTGAGCAACATCAAAGCTAGTGGAGGTGACAATATTCCAGCTGAGCTATTCAAAACCTTAAAGAAGATGCAGTAAAAGTGCTACACTCAGTATGCCAGCAAACTTGGAAAATGCAACAGTGGCCACAGGATTGGAAAAGGTCAGTTTACATTCCGATCCCAAAGAAGGGCAATGCCAAAGAAAGTTCAAACTACCACACCATTGCACTCATTTCACGTGCTAGCAAAGTGATGCTCCAAATCCTAGAAGCTAGGCTCCAGCAGTATGTGGACCGAGAACTACCAGAAGTACAGGCAGGATTTCGGACAGGGAGAGGAACTAGAGATCAAATTGCCAACATACGCCGGATCATGGAGAAAGCTAGGGAGTTCCAGAAAAACATCTACTTCCGCTTCATTGACTATGCTAAAGCCTTTGATTGTGTGGATCACAACAAATTGTGGCAAGTCCTTAAAGAGATGGGAGTACCAGACCATCTTATTTGTCTCTGGAGAAACCTGTATGCGGGTCAAGAAGCAACAGTGAGAACTGGACATGGAGCCACTGATTGGTTCAAAATTGAGAAAGGAGTTTGGCAAGGCTGTATACTGTCGCCCTGCCTATTTAACTTATATGCAGAGCACATCATGAGAAAGGCGGGGCTAGATGAATCACCAGTTGGAATTAAGATTGCTGGGAGAAATATCAACAACCTCATATATGCAGATGATACCACTCTAATGGCAGAAAGTGAAGAGGAACTAAAGAGCCTCTTGATGCGGGTGAAGGAGGAGAGCACAAAAGTTGGCTTAAAACTCAACATTAGGAAAACTAAGATCTTGACATCCAGTCCTCTCACTTCCTGGCAATTATATGGGGAAGAAATGGAGGTAGTGACAGATTTTATTTTCCTGGGCTCCAAGATCACCGCAGACAGGGACTGCAGCCAAAAAATTAAAAGACGCTTGTTCCTGGGGAGGAAAGCTATGGCAAATCTAGACAGCATACTAAAAAGCAGAGACATCACCCTGCCAACAAAAGTGTGTATAGTCAAGGCTATGGTTTTCCCAGTTGCAATGTATGGCTGTGAAAGCTGGACCATAAGGAAGGCTGAGCGCCGAAGGATTGAGGCCTTTGGATTGTGGTGCTGGAGGAGACTCCTGCGAGTCCCTTGGACCGCAAGGCGATCAAACCGGTCAGTCCTAGAGGAGATCAACCCTGACTGCTCTTTAGAAGGCCAGATCCTGAAGATGAAACTCAAATACTTTGGCCACCTAATGAGAAGGAAGGACTCCCTGGAGAAGAGCCTGATGCTGGGAACAATTGAGGGCAAAGGAAGAAGGGGACGGCAGAGGATGAGGTGGCTGGATGGAGTCACTGAGGCAGTTGGTGTGAGCTTAGCTGGACTCCGGGGGATGGTGGGGGACAGGGAGGCCTGGAGGAACGTTGTCCATGGGGTGCTGATGGGTCGGACATGACTTTGCAACTAACAACAGCAAGTTTAGGCTTAATTTTTTTGAAATGCTCCAAATAGATTTCAAAATTTGCATACTGAGGTACTCTGTTAAGTGCTCATGGGCAGTACCATGAAAGAAAGGCCTGGAATAATCTGAGGAGAAATTAAGCCCAGAGGTATCAGTCATCTGCGCCACGGATGATGCAGGAAGACATCCTGCGTGGTGGGCAAGGCAGGGCAGGACAGCTGGCTGAGCACTGACCAGGATGTGGGCTGCGTCTTCCCTGTTGTGCTGAAGTGCGGACGCACCCGGCTTGTGCAACCAGCAGCCGGCGCAAGCACCCAGACTGGGGAATTCCCCTTTCAGTCTACCTTCCTGTCCCGGCAACCCATAGGAACCTGGAGTGGGGGCAGGCTGGTCCCTCCCCTGACAGGGCAGCTTTGTGTGGCCAGCGGCAGTTCTTTCCTTACGTGATGGGGCCATGGCAGTCTCCCTCCAGATCTTGCAGGAGCCGCGGGGGGGCCACCTCCCTGCAGAAGTAGTGGTAGGAATCCACCATCAGCCGGTAATAGCCGTCAACGAGGGAGACGAAAGAGAGGGCCGTGGACAGAGCGGGGAACTGCACCTCCTGCAAAAGGAAGCACAGAACATGAAGTGACAAGCCATGCTGCCGGTCAGGATCCGGCCCTGTTCCCTTACTGAGGCTGCCACTCGAATGGTGGTATGTGTGGGTACTGCCTCTTCCTAGGGGCTTTCTGCTTGACTACAGCCCGCATCATCCCCAGCCAGGGTAATGGGTATTTTAGTCTAAAACACCTGCAAGGCCGCTGGGAGAAGAGCTGGTCAGGATGAAGGCCTTTTAAGCAATGTTCCCTGGAATTGCTCCCCTGGAATGCTTTGCAATGTCTCCTGGAATTGCTCTTTCAGAAAACTATGGGGACCAGCACGATTTGGCTAACGTTTGGGATAAAACAAGAGGTGGGGACTGTGGATGCTCCTGAGCAAGAGGACTAGAGCCTTGATCGCTGTACTGAAGTTAGAGCAGGAATTCTCAGGACAAAAGATTTGGTATCTGGTTTTGGAACAGCTGGGGGAGACGCACCAGAGGGAGACCATGGGCAGCATGGACCATGGGACCATGAGACATGCTCTGCCCCAGGCCCAGGACATGGCAGATCGGACGAGCCGTGCTTCTTTTGGCAACACTGGTCTGCAAGGAGAAAGCCTCGGACATGCAAGTAGCTAAATTTTTCCAGAACTGGGTAGCAAAATTTTTCCTGAATTGGGTCACTAATAAAGGAAAAATACATGCTGAGTATTAATTGGCCCCAGTTCCCAAGATACAGCTTCAGGTCAACACTGCATCAAAAGCATTCAAAATTACGAGGGGGATGTGCGATTCTGCTCCATAACTTTTCTGCCTATTGTGATATAGCAATGAGAATGGTACCGCACCAATCATTATAAATTTATCTTTTTATTGGTGCCAATAACATAACTTTCCATTCATTTATAGCATAACTTTCCATCCAAAAATGGCAGTCGCTGCCATGATGAGTGGGTTCCCTCCACACCACTGGGACTGTGAAAGGCACGGACCTTTTCCTCTTGTTTAGCCAGTGACGCAGATGAGTTGCACATGGAACGCAGCGATAGTGAGGGCCCAGCGCTTGCCCTGGTCCCCCACTTTGCACCCAAAATACAGGTGGCCTGGCTTTTTTACCACTGCTGTCATGCTGCACTTTTGAGGCGCAAATGTCACCTCGCCACAAACGTAGCAGAAGTTCTCTGCGTTGTTTACACAGTTTCGTGGCATCTTGGCTTCTGAGGGAAAATTTCACACAACTGTTCTTGGAAATGTTAGGCAATGACCCTTTCACAAGCCACCAGATATAACTGTAATATGTGCAGATCTGACCAAGGCAAATTTACCTTGCTATAAAAGAACAATACATTACAGTTAAGGAATGATCTTTAGTCTCAAAGAGAAGATAAACTTATACACTTCCATCTGGTACCATTTTCATTGTTCTACCATACTTTGTCAAGAAGTTACGAGGCGTCATGATCATCAGACACCTCCTCCCTTGTAGGCAAATACACTCCCCTGTGTGTAAGTTTTTATTGTGAAATATCTTGAAAACTTTAGCCAACCAGCACCTTTATCACCTGTTTGCTAATTTATCTAATTAAACTATGTAAGAATTAGGACATTTTATCCCTGAGGTTGCTAATTTCCCAAAATTTGTAGACCAGTGCAATTGCTTGACTGTCCCTTCCAGTCTGATCAACCGTGATTCCCGTTTGCATGTCAGTGTAACACAAAAGGTGCCACAGAGGAGAGGAAGCAAACCGCACGTACCAGGACCCGGCAGTCCGTCTTGGTCACGCTCACGATGCGGTCTTCCACGGGGAGGCCGTCCTGGCTGGCTTGCTTGATGGAGATGTCAGCAATTTCTGGAAAGTCGCAGAAGGGATGCCCAGCCTGGAGGGTTAGAATGGCAGCACAGGAGAGGCAAAGAGCCGTTAGTGGGGAGAAGAAGGAAGAATCCAGGGAGCGAAAGGCTCCGAGCCGAAGAGAGCTGCTGCGGTGGCACTTTTGGGCCAGTTCCAAGAAGGGGAGGGGCAGTTCCTGCTGTTCTCGCCAGTAACCTTTTATTATTTAAATTCAAGATCCCATGCTCAGCCCATGCTAAACCCCAAGGCTGCTCTGGAGAGCACCTTCCCTGCTTTCTTTAGAATTGTACAAGCACACACCACGTTTGTGGGCCACACAACTGCAAAACTGGAGTCCTAGTGCTGTGTCACTCTGGGACCCCCAGCATGACTGCAGAATCTTTCATAAGACTTTTTATGACTTGCTTGTTTCTATCTTTGGATTTTATATGGATTTCTCATTTATTAATTTGCTAAACAGAAACAAATTTAATTAATTTGAACTTGTATTTGTCCTAAAGATGATGAAGAAGAGATTGTTATTTGGGGCTGTGTGTTTCTTCAATCTGCAGACATACAGACACACCAAGTTTCTAGTCCTTATGGCTACACAGCTTGGAGCAGAGATCTGCCCCTTCTTTTTGCTGCAATCTTTCCTCGCTTTCCCGGGAGTAAAGTCAGCTAAGGCGGCCACTGGATCTGTAAGCAGCGGAAGGCAACATTTTAGCCGCAGGAACAGCTGCTCCGCCCGGAAACCGGGCCGGAAGCACGTCCAAATTTTACGCAGACCAGTTCGAGGAGGATAACATGTTGGAGCGTTATGTTTTAAACCCCAGTTCGCAAGTGAAGCTGCCCCCGCCCGTCTCCAGATGCCCGAGTAGCTAAGCGAGTAGCATCCGCCCCAACCCATGCGAATGGGGCGGCACACAAGCACTCCAAAGAAATAAAGAAATAAAGAAAACCCTCGCACCGCAGGATCCCCCCGGCTTGACACGATCCCCTTTTCCGCAGACACGTGAATCAGCCGCGCAGCGTCCGAGGCCGTCGTGCTCGGGATCTTGGCCAAGAAGGTCTCCCCGGATGCGCGGCCCTCCAGCGCTTCCAGTTCCATCAGGTACTTGAGCTTGAGGGAGCGCGCCTCGGGCTGGAGGCAGCCGAACCGGCGCAGCGAGCGGCCGAACTGGCGCCGGATCCGTCTCCTGGTGACGAAGCTCTGCGCCCGCAACTGGCATCGCAGCTTCTCCGGGAGACACGACTTGTAGCTGCGGAGGGAGAGGCGAGCGTCTTCTGGTTGCAGGACCCTCTTTGCAACGCCCCCCGGAGTTTTGTTTTGTTTTGTTTTGTTTTGCGATTCCCCGAGGGGCTGGGGCTGTGCGGACGGGCCCAGCGCCTGACATGAGAGAGCGAGGTCCCCGGGACCCGCGCCTGCCTGCAGGGAAAACACTCTGCACGTGTGCAGAGGCCATTTGCCTGTAAGTCTTTGCTTTGTTTTCATGCTCTCCTTGGTCGGGGGGTTGGGGGAGGAGATGGAACAGTATGCTGTAGTGGCTAGGGCAGCTTTCCTGAGCCTAGGGCCCCAAACCCATCATCCCCGGCTAGCATGGCTCAGGTTAAAGCTGCTTCCTGCTTGAATCAGTCCTTTATTCACAACCATGGCTGCATTTCAGAGGCTTGGTGGGAGAGCTCCAGGGTTCAGTCGCTGGCATCTCCAGGAGGGGAAAACTCCCCTCTAAAGCCCCAAGAGGCCTTCCTGCCCCTCTTTGTTGCTCATACTGGGCTATGTGCTCCAAGACAGCTCCATATATGACTTCGTATATGGCTGCTTCCTCTGTTCCCATCTTAAGTCCTTGATTCAGAACCTTGAGGACTAGAATCTTACGTTATGACTGAGGGAAAGCATACAGCTCAGTGTCATTGCACGCTGAAAGATCTGGGTTCATTCCCTGGCATCTCTGGGAAGGGTGGCTCAGAAAGACCCTCGGGGGCTCACTAATAGCACATTAAACGATCATCAATTTTGTACTGATGCCACCCAGTAGCGCTTCACCACAGTCCACCAATCAACAGCCTGCCCTTGCCCGACCCAGCTGTGCAGGTTGCCCAGCAGCCTGGGGTCCGGGGACGAGCAGTGCTGGGCGAGGCCCGTGCTGCTGTGGGCGGCTCGCCCCTGCGCCACTCACCTGATGCTGCGCAGCGTCTCCTGCAGGCTGTGTTTCCTTTCCTGCGAGATGCGCAGCATGTCCAGCACGGCCAGGCTGAGGCAGGTCTCCTGGGCCTCCAGTGTCCAGGTGACATCTGCCTTGGAGCCGATGAAGTCGCTGCGGCGCTGTGAAGGAATCGCCTGCTGGCAATGCTCGGCAATGGCTGCCCTTTGCCAGTGACAGTTCCGGTTCTCCCAGGCGCAGTCCCTGGTAAGCCAGCCTCCCCCTCTGCTTGGGGGTCCCCCTTCTGTTTCCTTTGGGGAATGCCAGGCTCAGCCCACCCGACCAGGAATGTACAGGCAGCAGCCTCTGGCCAGAGGAGATTTCACCACGCAGAGACTGCTGCTAGCACAGCCAGTACTGTGAATGCTGGGCACTGCAGTCCAAATCACCCGAGAGCGGCAGAGCACGGCCCTGCCTGACCCTAGCAGCATCTCTGGGAAGAACCACAAAGACTCCTGCCGGAGGCCCTGGAGAGCTGCAGCTGCCAGTCAGTGCTGACATTACTGGACCAAGAAGGGGCCACGGGTCCAAAGCAGAAAGCAGTTTGCTGCGTTCCCATGCCTCAAGTTGTTGAGCCAGCTTAGCAAAAGCAGTCCTTTTCAGCGTTTGGGTCCAGGACTTTTAGACTGGCTCTCCCAACTCGTGGGGCCACTGGCTCACTGGGTGCAAGAGGGACCTCCGGTCTCCTGTGTGAGCGTTTCCAGAGGACAGGAAGCAGGCAGAGCTGCCTGCTTGGGGTGGCATGGCTGATTTGGCTTGGCTCTGGATCCTGCCCTGCTGAGGCTGTGTGACACGCACTGGGAAAAGGGACCAGAAGAGAGATTGTTATACTTACTTGAGCAAATAGATAATCTATGGTTGGGTAATCCAGAACTGGGTTTACTTGGTCACCTCTGAGACCACAGCGATAGGATTTTCTGGGCCCAAACCAGTCAGGGAAAAAAAACCTGCCCAAGGTGAAAAAGAGTGGGGTGTCAGGTTGGGGAGAGCACAACTTTTTTGGAGGGGCAAAGAACATCAAGGAATTTTTTGAGTGGGCTTCTCAGATGCCTGTTTGTTCGTTCGCCTTTGCTGGCACTGACACTGGTGTGACTTAAGCCAGGTCTCTGAGACAGGCTGAAATAATGAAATTTCTGCAAATACACACCTGAAGGTTACTTGGTTTAAGTTTAGTTTTGTGCAGAATCCACTATTTATGCAAATTCATCAATTGAATAATTCTCTGAATTCAAGCAGGTGTTGCTCTAGGTCATCCTTCCTCCAACCTGGGATTTGCTGGATATGCTGGCCTTCAGCTCCCACCATCCCCAGCTATATTGGCCTATGGGAATTGTAGTTCACTGCATCTGGAAGGGTCAGGTTGGGACAAGGCTGACTTTGCATTAAAGCAGAAGTGATGCTGCATGCAGCTTTTAAAGTGCCCAGAGAGCCTACAGGGGAGACAGGTGAAGGACCAACCTGGGTCGGAGGAGGGGAATTAATGCTTCTTCCCTACAACACTTTCAAAGAAAATATCTCCCCCTTCACCCAAAGGCACAGTTTGCTTCAGCTTTTGCACGCTAGTGTGGGTGTCTTTGTGTGTGTGTTTTTAGGACTATGGAAGGGTACAAAAACTGTTTTTGGTTCCTTTCTCCTCCCTGAGGGTTGGTCCCAACCCTGTTAATCTGCCCACTCATTTCCAGACTTCTTTTCTGGTCTGGATGGTCCAGTGGTCCAAAGCACCTGCAGATTTCAAGGGGCAGGTGCTCGGCTCAGTAGTGGGGCCCATGGGGGCTCAAGGCCCATGGGGGCACTTGGGATTTGTGTGCCAGAGGCGCCACATTCTGTCCCACAGCACCTCCACCTGGAGCAGACAAACTTCTGCCTGAAGCTCCTGTTCGACTACGGCTGTGACTTGGCCTTGGGTCACCCCTGAGAAAAGCTTTCAGAGACAGTTGCTCACTGAGCTGCCCCTGCAGTGTAGGCACAGTGTGGGCAACTGGAAAAAAGCATTTCTAAAACTGCCTATCTGCCTACGGTGTGTGCACATCACTCCTGTTTTGTGCTCTCTTTTGGGGGACACTCACAGAAGCATGGGAACATAGAAACAAAGCAAGCAGAAGGGGTCTCCCGTGACTCCTGGCTCCACACCCTTCCCCACTTTGTTCTCAGGTGATTTGCCCTTGATTTGCTGAAGTGCTCCAGCCTACCTGATCCTGTAGACGACTGTCTGGCTGAATGACTCATCCACAGTAAAGACGTGGCTGGGTGGGAACCAGCAGGAGAGGTCCTCCGTGGCCAGTGAAAAGAGGGAGTGGCAGACAGGAAGAATCCCTGCAGGAACAAGAACAAGGGGCTGAGGCTCCATCCAAATGCTGCATCTGTCTTTTACACATCTTTTCTTTCTAGCCAACTGTTTGGGATTATTAAAAAAACACAATAGATGGCACAGATATTGCAAATCAAAGGCAGACTTCTCGTGCAGACTGGAGCTTTTCGACCGGCTTCCTACTTGTTTCTCCTCTGTCGGAGAATGCTGGCATGATGGGCTAAAATGTCTTGCCTCATGGGAATGGAGTTTGCTCTCCTGGGAAGTTTGAGGATGGAGACAATTGCAGCATTTTCAACAGGGTTTTGGACCCTCTGGCTTGCAACCCTTGTTGCACATTATGTCCTGGCAAGCTTGCTCTTTTCAGTCAGAGGAAATGTCTCTGGCTGGCTGAGACTCTCTCTCTGGCTTTTTGGAGAGAGATTCCCATCAGGACTTGAAGAAAGTGCTTCCCCTCCCAGCCACCATTCCTGGTGGAGGTGCAGAGCAGGAGATAAGCGTTGGGGTGTTAGGTTTTCGGAGTGGTGATGTGGTTTGTGAGGACTGAGGACCCATCCGGCTCTGGGGAAGGACTGAGTGGATGATGAGTCTCTCGAGTACTGCTAGAGCAGGGGAGAATGAAGCAGCAGAGGGTGGACTTTTCTTTCCTTGACTCTGGTGTAATTGAGGACCCCTCTTTGCTAGCTCATGTGTCTTTCTAAGAAACAACTATTGGCTGCATCTCAGCTTGATGAAGACCTAGAGCTAGGTCTTCAGTGCGCAGTGTGTCTGGGTGTGTGTGTGTGCTTCACATCACTTGATCCCGCTCCAGAGCTGCAAAAGGAGGCTGAGGTTCAGTATCCAAACGGGTCGTCCCCTGCCCTGGCGCTTTAGCATCTGAAAGGCACAACACACCAAGGGCAGACGCTGTTGGAGGGAGGGAGGAAAACACCAACCCAGATTGTGTTTGACAATTGTTCACATCTCATTTCCGGCATGAAATACAACTGAGGCAGCATACAGGCAAGAGCAGAAGGTTTTACAAGTCGAACCATCATAGACTGCAGCGTGGCTCCCTAGCCAGGAATTGACTGTGGGGCTGCACTCATGCTGACCTTCATAAAGGGGGCATTGCACATGTGTTTGTGAAGAAAGCTGGCAGGAAGAAACAGGTTCAGTTCACTATTTAAGGTAAACTTACCTAATTTCACACTTTCAAACCACAATGTGAACCACACTTTGAAATTTACATGGCTCTGCATTATCCAAAGAGGATTTCAAAACAATGCATACCCAAAATGCATTTTATTGGGGAAGAGTAATATTAAAATGCAAAAGGGAAACTGCTTGCAAAACATGTACAAGAGTGCACATTGCTTCTCTCAGGGGAAATGGGGATATAGGGAACTAAATTCGTAAAGGCTGAGACCAATGAAGCTTAGGACTGGGGAAAGGATAGATGAGAAAGACTCTGTGTTTTTCTACTGCTTAGTTTTTATTGGTTTACCATGCATCATCTATATGTTAAATGTTTTATTTGTTGTTGTTTAATGTTGGGTAAACTGCCCAGAGTCTCACAAGGTGTGGCATGCAAGTGTAATAAAGATAAAGATAATAAAGACAATAAAGATCCTGTACCACCCTCGATAACCCGCTGTGACGACTTTGCCCAGCACTTCAAGGAGAAAGTCGCTCAGATGCATCATGAGCTGGACTCCACTCAGATTCCTTAGGGGAGGTGCCAATGTTACCATCTGGTCACACGTTGGATGAGTTTCAGTTGCTGCGGCCTGATGATGTGGACAAGGTGCTTGGACAGGTACATACCACCACCTGTGTACTGGACACCTGCCCATCATGGCTACTATCCAAAGCCAAACACAGGATTGGTTCCTGGATCCGGGAGGTCATCAACGCCTCTTTGAAGGACGGCCGGGTGCCTGCCCCTCTAAAGGAGGCGGTGGTCAGGCTGGTCCTAAAGGAGGCATCCCTGGATCTGGAGGTGCCGCCAATTATAGACATCCCGTTTCTGGGCAAGGTGCTAGAGCGGGTGGTGGCGGGACAACTCCAAGCACTCTTGGATGAGACTGACTATCTGGACCCATTTCAGTCTGGCTTCAGACCCGGGTATGGTACTGAATCCGCCTTGGTCGCCCTGTATGATGACCTGTGCAGGGAGTGAGACAGGGGGAGTGCATCCCTGTTGGTTCTCCTGGACCTCTCAGTGGCTTTCAATACCATCGACCATGGTATCCTTCTGGATAGGCTTGCGGGATTGGGGGTCGGAGGCACTGCTTTGCAGTGGTTCCGCTCCTATCTCAACGGCCGGTTCCAGAAGGTGGTGCTGGGGGACTATGGCTCTGCGTCATGGCAGCTATGCCATGGAGTTCCGCAGGGGTCTATTCTCTCCCCCTTGCTAGTCAACATCTACATGAAACCGCTGGGAGAGGTCATCAGGAGGTGTGGGCTGCGGAGTCATCAGTACGCTGATGATACCCAGCTCTACCTCTCATTTTCCACCAATCCAGGTGAGGCAGTGGCTATACTGAACCGGTGCCTGGCCAAGGTAATGGGCTGGATGAGGGCCAATAAACAAGCTCAATTCAGACAAGACGGAGGTCCTGCTGGTAGGTGGTTCGAACTCCGGGGTAGGTGACTTGGATCTTGTCCTGAATGGGGTTGCACTCCCTCTTAGGGACAAGGTCCACAGCTTGGGAGTGCTCCTCGACCCAGAGCTGACTTTGGAAGCTCAAGTGTCAGCGGTGGCGAGGAGCGCTTTCCTTCAGCTTCGGTTGATCCATCAGCTGCGTCCCTACCTGGAGGACGACTGCCTGGCGACAGTGACACATGCATTGGTTACTTCCCGGTTGGATTTCTGTAATGCGCTCTACATGGGGCTGCCCTTGAAGACAGTCTGGATACTTCAGATGGTGCAAAATAGAGCAGCCAGGTTGCTGACGAGGACTGGGCGTTATTCTCGTATAACCCCAGTCCTCTACCAGCTTCACTGGCTCCCTTTTGAAGTTCAGGCTCAATTCAAGGTGTTGGTAATCACTTATAAAGCCCTTACCGGCTTGGGACCCGGATACCTGAAGGAACGCCTGTGGCCATATTTGCCCTCCTGCCCCTTGAGATTGGCAGCAGGGGCTCTCCTCCGGGGGCCCTCCGTGAGAGACATCAGGAAGCAAAGTACCCGGAGGAGGGCCTTCTCTGCGGTGGCGCCCCGTCTGTGGAATGCGCTCCTCAGAGAGGTCTGCCTGGCGCTGTCCTTATTTTTCGGCGCCAGGCCAAGACCTTTTATTCAAACACTATTTTAACAATCTTTAATATTTATAGTTTTAATTATGCAGCCAGTGTGTTTCCAAGTTTTAATTGTAATTGTAATTCTATTTGTTTTATTCATTTGTTGTGAGCCGCCCCGAGGCTATGTAGCAATGGGGACAGCATACCAAAAATTTAAATAAATAAATAAATAAATAAATAAGAAAGAGAGGGAGAGAGAGAGACTGAAATGAACCGGTCCATCCACCTCTAGGGATAGGCAGCTGCCTTTCAGAATGGATTGTGGTGCAGCTGCTGCGTCCTCTGGAATGTGTGCGCATGTCTTTGCAGGCCGTGGGAGAGGAGAAACGCCACACTTACCGCATGCCTTTGCTGCTGTGATGCACAGACCCTCTGCAGTGTACTCCCCAGTGGGGAAGCACAAGGTCCCCGCGGTGTCTGGGGAGAGCTGCACAGCATCTGGTCGGTGGTAAAGGTGCACCTGGAGGGTGCTGGAGCTGCTGGAGGACAGGCTGTGGCTCCGGCTGCTGATCAGGGGGGTGTCTTCGCTGAGCGGGAGCATGGCGCGGGCGTCTTGTGGGGCTGAGCTGGGCGCTGAGCTCTTCCCGCCTCATTTGCCACACAGTCCAATCATTCCAGGTGCTGAGGGCGGAAGAAGCAGAGCTAAGTTAGGCTGTGGGATATCCAGCCCCCTGCCATGTTTGGGTGGCCTTCCAGGCTGGCAGGATGGGGTTGCCCAGAGGGCTGTACCCTTTCCTGCCAACTACTCTGTGCTTTCCAAGCTTTTGCCAAGTCAAAGGCATGTGTGCATTTAGTTACATATGTTTAACTGCATCAGTGATTCATAAGCTTCAACCCAAATGACCACACACACACCCCTCCATTTATTTTTTATTTATTTTATTCAGTTAAAGCATTTTTATCCTGTCCTTTCCAGGAGTCTCAGGACAGCAATACAAATGAAACAAAGAGGCAGCATACAATGAAATATAAGTATGATAAAACCCAATACTAAAATTTCCATAAAATCTTAAAATATCAGGAAAATAAAAGGGGTTTGTTTGGCTTGGTGCCAAAATGAATTCAGTGGTGGTGCCAGGTGCACCCCCTGGGGAGCATGATCCAAAGCCAGGGCACCACCACAGAGAAGGCCCTTCCTTGGGTAGCCACTCTTCTAATCCCCTTCAAAGAGGGCTCCTGAAGAAGGACCTCCAACCCAGATCTTAGTGGGAGGGCAGGCACATAGGGAAGGAGGCATTCCTTCAGATACCCAGGCCCTAAACTGTTTAGGGCTTTATAGGTCATCCTTAACACCTTAAATTGGTAGCCATGGCAGATGGTAAAGGACTGGTATTATGTGCACATACCTACCGGTCCGCATCAAAAGCCTGGCTGCTCCGTTCTGGACCAACAGAAGTATCTGGACCATCCTCAAGGGCAGCCCCACACAGAGCATATTACAATCGTCCATTTGGCACGTACATGTCATGTGCTCAAAGACTGATAGCATGGTCAGGTATATAATGCATTGTGCTTTTATAATCATTATTAATATTAAGTTATTTCTCATAGATAGAATCATAGAATGGTAGAATTGGAAGGGGCCATGAAGGCCACTGGGTCCAACCCCCTGCTGCTGCAGGACACCAAAGTACAGCATCCCACTGAGATGGCTGTCCAGTTTCTTCCTGAATGTCTCCAGTGTGGGAAAGCCCACCACATAGAAACAGAGTGAGCCGGAAGGGGTCTCCCGGGCCGTCTAGTCTGACCCCTGACTCCAGCCGCCTCCGCTCACGACATGCCCACCATGTGCACGTCCAGCCTATCCTTGAACACCCGCACCGATGGGGCCTCAACCACCTCCCGGGGAAGCCCATTCCACACCCTCGGGGTCCTGACTGTCAGGAAGGGCTTCCTGGCATCCAAATGGAACCTTGGCTCCCTGCGCTTGGCTCTGTTGGAGCACGTCCTGCCTTCCTCTGCAGGGGAGAACAGGTCTCTGCCCACCTCCGTGTGACACCCCCTCACATACCTGCATGTCGCCAACAGATCCCCCCTGAGTCTCCTCTCCTCCAGGCTGAAGAGACCCAGTTCCCTCCGTCTCGCCTCATACGGCATCCCCTGCAAACCGGCCACCAACCTTGTGGCCCTACGCTGCTCTGATTCCAACCTGGCTATATCCTTTCTGTATTGAGGGGCCCAAAACTGAGCACAATACTCCAGTTGCAGACACACCAGAGTCATATAAAGGTAAAGGTGAAGGTTTCCCCTTGACCTTACATCCAGTCATGCCTGACTCTCGGGGGCGGTGCTCATCTCCGTTTCCTGGCCAAGGGAGCCAGCGTTTGTCCGCAGACGGTCTCCGTGGCCACGTGGCCGCATGACTGAACACCGAGGTGCACGGAACGCTGTGACCTGCCCACCGAAGTGACACCTTTTCATCTACCTGCATTTGCATGCTTTCGAACTGCAAGGTTGGCAGGAGCTGGGACGGAGCAACGGGAACTCACCCCGTTGTGCAGATTCGAACTGGCGACCTTTCGAACAACCAGCCCAGCAGCACAGCGGTTTAAACCACTGCGCCACCTGCAGTCCCTTCCAGAGTCATATGGAGCTGTTGTAATACCTCTCTCAATCTAGAAGCCACACTTCTGGCCATGCCGCCTGCTCTCCAGGCAGCTGGTCCCACTGTCGTATTGCTCTGTATCTCCTTCTTTTTCATTTTAATTTAGTCTTTGTTTTATAATTCATAAACATTATAGTGTGCTAGGACCCGTGCTTTTCTATCTGTTCATAGATGATCTGGAATTAAGAGTAAGTCATGAAGTGACCAAGCTCCTATTTAGGGTGGCTGAAATTGGGAAGGATTACAAGGAGCTCCAATGGGATCTCTCCAAGCTGGAAGAATGGGCATCAAGATGGCAAGTGCAGTTCAGTGTGAGCAAGTGTAGAGTAATGTATGTTGGGGCAAAAAATCCCAAATTCAAGTACAGGCTGATGGGATCTGAGCTGGCAGGGGCTGAGCAGGGAAGGGATCTCGGGGCTGGTGGACAACTCAGTGAAAATGCCCACCTGGTGTGTAGCTGCTGTGAAAAGGCAAAGTTCATGCTAGGTATAACTAGGAAACAAACTAAAAATTAAACTGCCAAGATCAAATTCCCCTTAAAAATTTTGTGCACTTAGAATACGGTGTAGCATTCTGGTTGGCACATCTGGAAATGGATATTATTGAGCTGGAAAAGGTGCAAAGAAGGTCAGAGGTGCAGAGAAGGAGCAGCTTAGAAAAAAGGTGAGTTCAGGGGACACATGATGGAGGTGATTAAATTACGAATGGTGTGGAGAAAGTGGAGGGAGAAATTTTTCTCTCTCTCCTGTAACACTGGAACCTGGAGTCATCCCATGAACCTAATTGGCAGGGGGTTTGGGGCAGATAAAAGGGAGCACTTCTTTGCAAAGTTGAAGTATGGAATTTGCTGCCACTGGAAGTGGCGATGGCCACTAATTTGGATGGGTTTTGAAAGGGATTGGGCAGATTCATGGAGAAGGAAGCAATCAGTGGCTACTAGCCTTGCTGACCATCTGCCAACTCCTTCACTGGGGCGGATGCTGGCACAGACCAGTTGCTGAGGAGCTTGGGCAGGGGGGGTGTCTTGCAAACATCCTGCTGGAGGGATCCTGAGGCAGCTGGGTTGCCACTGTGCACGGCGTGCTGGACTAGATGGACCTCGGGTCTGATCCAGCAGGGCTTTTCTGATGTCGCAGTCCTGTGCTGTTCGGGGATCCCATGGGCACCTGGCTGACCTCTGAGGGCAGAGAACAGGGTTTTCCCTAGAGTCTAAACTGAAAATTAAAGGGGGAGAAGAGAATGCTTTTGCATGGTTACCTTTCTAAAAGGTGGAGCAGCTGGCCACAGAAGAGTTAAGCTGCAAAAGGTGGCCATTTTTGTTTGCTTGCTTGTTGGGGCCTCCTCAAAATGGAATGTGGCCCCTGGGCCAAAGAGGCTTGGCAGCCATTCTTGACTGTTGACCTCTGGCCACGCAAGCCAGACCAGCTGGGCTGGCAAACCGAGGAGGGCAAGTTGCGGGCCTCCCCTTGGCTGGGGTGGTGGTGGAGAGAGATGGGGCTTGGGCAGCAACAGGCAGGGACGCCTCTCGCCTTGCAGAGTGCAAGTGTAACTGGCAGCCAGTGAGATGACCTGTTTGCTGATGCTGCTTAACTGTGGCAGGACAGACTCTGTGCTACGACCAGTGAGGCGGCAAGTCAGGTAGCGTGAATACGCTTTGTTTGTTCATTGCATTTCTCGACTGCCCAATAACTGGAGCTCTTTTTTAAATCAGCTGCTCATTATTTACCAATGCTTCCTTTACTCTTATGTTCTGGCAGTATTTGGAAGCTTCCCCCTTGTGGGTTAAAGTTATAAAAACTTCGAAGGACTTTGACATTTTCTGATGTATGTGCACTTTTGAATTATCTGCCTGTTTCTTGGGAATTAAAGCTTCATCAATGCAATTGGATTTCCATGCCATTTCAACAGCTAAAACACTGATATTGCAATGCTGTGTTGATGTTTATGTGTAATAGAAACATCTAGATTTATCCTGTTGTTCAGATATTCACATATCAGTGCTTCTTAATATGGGGGATTTTTGCCTTGTGTTTCACTTGGTTTGGTTTGTTTTATGTTCATTGATTTCTTTTGGTGAAATTCACAGTAAAAATAAATGGGAAAACCCGTGTTCGGGGAGCCCTGACTCCGTCATTCTCTGCTGCTTGCTGGGCTTGCAGCAGCTCTTGGATGCCCTGAATGCTTGTGGCAGCAGTGTCTCCCCAAGGCTTAGGCAGAAACGCTTCCCACCCTACCTCAGGGACTGAGCGAGGGTTTTCTGCGAGCGAGCCACAGCCCCTCCCACAGAGCCTCTGTGAGCTCGGGAGAGCCGGACTTGTGTCTGCACTTGGCCCATGAAGCTTGCTGGATGGCTTCCGGCCCGTTGCAGCCTCTCTGGCCTACCCCACTGGGCTGTCATAAGAATGAGGAGGAGGGACCATCTAAGCTGGCCTGGGTGCCTAGCACGAAGGAAAAAGGATGGCAATACAAAAAGAAGCAATTAATTCTGCCATGTGCACTAAATCCTTGACAATTATGGTGGTCATGAAGATCTTCCTGCTCTTGCCACATCTGCGTTTATTAGATATATAGAAATGTTTCCTTCCCAGTGAGTTTATGTGAATCTCCCCCTTGCCCCATTTCCTTTTTGTAATTGTTTGGGGTTTGAAATTTAACACAGGCACACACAAAGGAATTGGAAAAACGATGCCATCTGAACATGTCCTCTGTCACTGTCGAAGCCACATGGGTTCCCGTTTGGATGTGCAGCTTGTTTACATTGATGCATATAGCTGAAAAATCTTTCTCCCCCTCTGCTTTTGTGTGTGCGTTCTCCTTTTTCTCCTCCCCTCAGTGGCCCCAAGGAATATGCTAATGAGGGCTACATATTGCTGTGATTTATGATACAAATCCCTCCCTTGTTTCTGTGTTCCAAATATAGTTTTTGTTAAAAAGCGGGGGTGGGGGGGAGGCAGTGGTGGAGATGTTTCATCTAGCAGGATGTGCCCTTGCTCTGTCGTTCTTTGTTGTTCTTTGACTAATAATTGGGCTTTATCATTCCCCTTCGGTAAAAGAGCCCCGCCTGGCATTTTTGCACAGAGCAGAGCTGAAGCGGCACCAGGTGTGAGTTTTCTCTTCCCGCAGATGTCTGGATGGATACAGAGATGCAGGCAACAAGCCAGAGGCACGTGGCCTCAGAGCACTTGTGACACACGGAGGGGCAGGAACACTGGGAAGATGTGGGCGCGAGCTCTGCCTCTGCGTGGCGTGCTGGGGCAGGAGCGTGTGCGGCAGACAGAGACACGGGGTGGGCCCTTTTGATGCAGCCCTGCGGGCGCGCGCGGCACACGCCGCCTCTGGGCACAGGGAGGGCTTGGGCAGGACGGACGTGCTGCGGCACGTGGCGCATGCACCAGCCCCTTCCCGTCCGGGGCAGCGCCAGGCCCTGCAAAGAGGGCAGGCATGTGCGCAAGCACCAAGTGGCCTGTTCCCAAATTCTCCCTCTCTTTCTCAGGAGAGAAGGGCACCAGCTTGCGGGGAAAAAACTCAGGCAGAGGGATGGGGCAGCAGGAGGGGCCGGCTCACCGGGCCCCAGCCCTTCTTTCAGCAGGCATGTGTGGACAGCAAGGAAGCGGGCAGAGATTGGGGCTCCACTGAAAAGATGAGACTTAAAGCTTGCAATGTGCTGGGCTGCTGCCAGTCCCTGTTGCCCTTTTCGTCCAGCCAAGCCTGGCGAGAGCTGCTGGCCCAGGTGGGGAGGCGCAGGCCGTGGTCTGCAGCAGCCTGATTGCCACAGGTAGTTTGTGGCTTGTACCGGACCAGTGTGGCTGCCTTCATCAGCTATGGCTGGCAATGGTGGCCAGGCCTCAGGGGGTGTTTTGACCACCGATCTGCGTTGGCCCCCAGGGACTGGACTCCTGCAGTCTGGCCTCTGCGGCGCTGTCCCACAGATCGGTCAGCCCACGTGCAATGTGTAATTGGTGTGGGACAATGTTTTGCACAGGCCTTGAAGTACTGCTCCCAGTTTGCTCCCAGCTCTAGAGAAAAGCTTGTATTCACTATAAGGTGCAAGCTGCCATCTTTGGAGGAGGAGCCTGGTTCTTGGAGGTGGATGCCACGGAGTCCCTCGTGGTGAAGGAGCCTTGGCCCGTGTGGGCAACAGGTGCAGGTCCCATCCAGGCAGGGGGAGCTACCCCTAATCCCTGGTAAGTCATTGCCTCATGCAGAGGCTGGCAGGGCCCCTTTCAGGAGGAGGAGGAGGAGGGATGCTCACTTGCTGAAAGGGCTCCTCCAGAAAGGGCAGCTCCCCAGGAGCAGAGCCCTACGGGACCTGGATGGGCCACCGCAGAGCCTGGGCGTGGCCTGGTGAGTTCTGCTCTTAGCGGCCCGTGTGGCACCTGGCTGGTGCTGGAAGGGGGCTGCTCTCCAGCCCCAGTGGCTCGTCTCCTAGGCCATTCCTCCATGGCTGATGCACTGTGCGCTTGGCTCCGGGTGCCTGCTTCAGCCATGGCTGCACTTGACGGTGCAATGGCATGAGTGACTTCTGCCAGTACTTTGCCTTGCCCTGCCCTGCCCTGCCCGCCCGCCCGCCCGCCTTCCTGCGTGTTTGCCTGAGTTCAGACCTTGCTTTCTGGATTGCCTGCTTCTCAGTCCGCTGCAGCCAAAGTGGGACAGAACCCCACAGCTGTTCAGATTGCAAAAGTGGCCTGCAGCTCCCCTGTGCTCCAGCTAACTTAGCTAGCTAGGAGATGTTGGGAGAGGTCAAACCCTTTTTCTGCCTTAAATATTCATAGGGTTGCACCCTAAAGCCATTAAAGGGCACACACCTTAAGGGAACAAGTTTTGCCTGCATGACCCTCCCTCTCCATTTTCCACGACATCTGGATTGGCTTTCACAAAGTGCAGGGTCTTTTGGTAGCTACCCTGGTAAATACCCCAATTCAAGTTAAAATGAGACAGCCCTGAGACACTGACAGTGCAGTATATAGGTCTGGTCTGATGTAAGTTCCATTCCCAGCCAAGTAGAATTAGGACAGCCACCCTTAAACTATTTTTTAAAATGCTAGGATACTTATTTATATTTTTTGACACCTTCTAGGCAACTTCTCTGAGCAATGAACTAAAACAGCAGCAATAGAGTACAAAATAACATGAATCCAGTGCTGAAGCTTTAAAAGCCAACCCGAGCCCCGAAATGCAGCAAGGCCAAAGATGCAGTAAACGCACCTTAAAATGGCTGGTGCTTAAAGCAACCCATGTGTAGGGCAGCTACAGAGAGCGGCCTTAAAAGCCCTGCAAAGCCCTGGAGGTCCCCACTTGGTGCCAGGATTGTTCCTAGGCAGGGTAGAGCATCCCGCTGTGCTCTTGCCTTCTGAACTGCAGCTTTCAGGTTATTTCCTGACCAGCAGTCCTGAAAAGTGACCCACTTCTGGAGCATATCAGGGTTCAAAGAAAGCAAAGGAATGAGAAAGAGCCCCTTTCCTTGAGACAGTGTGGAATTTCCACCCCAGATAAAAAGCTGGAAGCGTCTCCCACACATTCCCGCCACCCCAGAAAGGAAATCTGGGGTTGAGCCTGCCTGCATTTGCCAAATCCACCCCCCCCCCCCAAATCAAGCACAGTCCCCCACATAAGCAAGATCAAGGCTAAAAAATCTGGTATAGGAAACAGGATCTACTGTCCTTCAGATTTTTACTCTGTGCCAATTGTTCATTTGTTAATTAATCATTATGGCTAATTTCCAGCAATGCACTTGTTGCGCGTCAGCTGTGCCAGGGGAAGGGCTGCCTTCAGAAGGGCTGCCTTCTCGGCTTCTGCAGCTCCATCTTTTCTGGCAGCTGCAAGATGCAAACATACCTTGCAGAGAGGCCTGACCGGGTGACTGCTGGGCTCGCCTTGGGGAACTGGAGAGAGGCGTCTGGGCAAAATCAAGCCAGGGCCAGCAACTGAAGTCCCAGGCCAGGGCACAGGCTTCTGGTGATGTGCTGTGCACCCGAGTTCAAGGACTGCGTAGGCTGCCTGGTCTCACGTAGGAGATGCTTTAGATTTTTTGGGTGTGAAAAGCACCCTTTTTGGTTTCCTGTTTTCAGAGAAGCTGGGAGGTGCTCTCTGGTTTCCTGTCACTTGCTGAAATGGCACAGAGAAGCCCTGGTGATCACTGGCAGAAATGATGGGCAGGGGGAGACAGCACTGAGAGTGTGGGTGGGTGGGACTCTCCTCTGATTAAAAATGAGACCACTGGGGATGCTTATCTTCTTGTCAATGTTAGATACATTCATGACAGCACTTACTATCCATGATAGCTGTTGGTGGAGCTTCCAAATGCAGGCACGTTCCAGCAAGAAAAGGGGGAAGAAAACCAGCTTTTTGCTTCTACTGGAAAACATTTGCTTTACCTGGCTTGTCAGCCAAAAAGGGCTGCTGGTTGACAAAGATCTATAATAAAAGAATACAGGTAGGTCTCCCTTTTAAAAAATTATTTTAATTTCATATCACCCAGTACCCCAAGGCTCTCTAGGTGGTTTACACCAGTCTCCTCCTCCTGCTCTCCGTCTTAGTCCCACAACAACCCTGTGAGGTAGGCTGGCCTGAGAGTCTGTGACTGGCTAAAGTCACCTAGTTGGCTCCATGCCTGAGCGGGGACTAGAACCCAGATCGCCTGAATCTCCGTCCTGCACTCTTCACCACAACACCACCCTGGCTCATTGGGATCATGAAGCCCATGAAGTGGTCACACTTTTCAAAGTTGTAATTCTCCATAAAATGTGGGAATTGCTTCCAGCTTGGCAGTAGTAGGCAATGAAATTTTTTTAACACAAGCTTTAGATGTTGCTGGATAAATATTATAGTAAAGGATAAAAAGAATATACTTACAACTTAAATTGTTAACCAAGTCACACAGCAGCTCTAGAGAGCACTGCTGGTACACACACCGATTCACATGCTTAGTGTGGTGTGTCCTCATGTGGATGATGAACAATACCACTTTTGCACAGCCCAGCTCTTGACAGTAAATTGCTGTTGCTAAAATACAATTGCTTAACAGCACACTTCTGATCTGTGTGCTGAACCGTCAGAGATAAAACTGACCTTTCTTCTCTCTGCCTGAACCATTCTATTTTGCTGCCACTTCCTTTTGTATGATTCAAAAGCTTCTGTGTAGATGCACACACACACAATGACAGCTAACAAATCCTTTTCTTATCTTTGTTTTCTTTATTGTTGTTGTTAGTCGTGAAGTCGCGTCTGACCCATCGCGACCCCGTGGACAACACTCCTCCAGGCCCCCCTGTCCCCCACCAGCCCCCGGAGTCCAGCTAAGCTCACGCCGACTGCCCCAGTGACCCCATCCAGCCCCCTCATCCTCTGCCGTCCCCTTCTTCTTTTGCCATCTGTTGTTCCCAGCATCAGGCTCTTCCCCAGGGAGTCCTTCCTTCTCACTAGGTGGCCAAAGTATTTGAGCTTCATCTTCAGGATCTGGCCTTCTCAAGAGCAGTCAGGGTCGATCTCCTCTGGGACTGACTGGTTTGATTGGCTTGCGGTCCAAGGGACTTGCAGGAGTCTCCTCCAGCACCACAATTCAAAGGCCTCACTCCTTTGACACTCAGCCTTCCTTATGGACCAGCTCTCACAGCCATACATTGCAACTGGGAAAACCACAGCCGTGACTATTTTGTCGGCAGGGTGATGTCTTAGGCCTGTGAAAAGGATGGAGTGGGAACTAGGGAGAACAAGCCGCAGCCAGGTAGCGCAACACTGAACTAGCAGTGCCTGGGCCCCTGACGATGACCTGATAACCCCAACTGCACAAGCATTAGCTTTCCATTAACTGAGTTTTGTTTTTGCAGGGCCTGGTATCATTGTACAAGTCACACTCAACCAAATATCTCATTATTTGAACTCGTATTAATTGCAGCTTACCTGTAAAACCTAAAAAGGCTTTTAGATCTTTTGTCCAGAAGGAGAAGGGATTGGGGGGAGAATGAATAGTGGGCTGGGCTCTGGTTCTTAGTTAAAAAGTTTGTGGTCTGCTCAGCTTCTTGGAAGAGGCCTTATCGCGATCCCCATCTGTGCATGCGCCGCGGCAACCCACGCTCTGTATTTCTTTTGCCTGTTTAGCACTGAATTTCCTTCCTGAGATGCACCCGTGCTAGGTTTTCAAGAAACTGCTCTTCTGCAGTATGCCATACAGGCACAGGCAGGAGCCAGCAGGTGGCGAGCTTTCCCCACAGTGCTGGCGCTCTCCTGATCTGAGAGCTGCCGGATCAGCTTGGTTCAGGATGCGGGAGTGTTTCTGATCCGGCTCTTTACCTAATTTCATTGTAGATCCCAAATTAGTGAAGCCACCTGGAGGTGGAGCTGGGTGGAGGGACCCGTGACTCATCCTGTTCAAGCAAGGGTTTCGTTTGTTCTTTTGAACATACCCAAATCTGCAAACGTCTTCCCGAAAGAAGACAAGAACAGAAAGCAAGCAGCAGGCCAAATGGGCAAATAGGCCCGTCATTCCAGAAGACTTTGGGAGCTTTTCTGCGAGAGGTGCATTTATATGCGTTTATGACTCTTCATTCTTCCATGGTTGTTAATGGGCTTTTTATATGACATGGTTAACCTCCAGTTTTGCTCCAGGTTTTATTTTTTAACTGCTCTGTCTTTTATAAAACAGGGAAAAGGAGCTATTATATTACAATGGGGAAAATGGTGTTCCATTGCCAGGCCTATTTCTGTTGTTCTTCTTCAGCACAGCACTGTCTACCGGTTGTATGGTGGAAAAGCAGAGAAGACCTCTCAGCTCTACAGGCGGGAAAGCACTGCAATCTTTTAGCACTACCAGTCCGAAGTCATTATATAGATCTTCCCATCCTTGTCCCTATGGAATTTTTGTTTTGCTGAGAATTTTTAAATGGTGGAAAAACATGGAAGGGTTACAAAAGGACAATATCTAGATGCTCTGTAAAATTTGGCTGTGCAGTTCAGCACTTGCAGAATGAAAACCACATCTGGAAGGCCCCCAGATCCGGTCCAGACCAAGATATTTCCTGTTTGCAGTGGAGAACAAAATGTTTGCTTTCTTTTTGTGTGCACAGAAGGATGGATAATTTATTTATGTTGTGTTACGTATTTGTATTTTATTTGTGTAAGCCATCCTGAGGCTCTTGCAAAGGACGGCATACGAATATCTTAAATAAACAAATAAATAAATAAATAAATATCTTCAGTTTAGGGCATGATCTTGCACATGTTTAGAAAAGGAAAAATCCTGCAACTCCCAGCATGCCCCAGAGAGCATGCAGGAATTCTTCCTTGCTGGGGTGTGCTGGGAGTTGTAGACACTTCCCCGTCTAAGACTATTCTGGTATTGAGTGTTTTAAGGTTTATTATTTTATTGTTTGTGAGAAAATCAAAAGAAAAGGAAATTGTTGGCCAATATGGATGCAGCAGGGAGGATGCTTAAATAGAAACATTTTTAAATTAACTGTTAAAAAGCTTCACTTTCAAAATATGGAATGTTAGAATCTTGGGGGGGGGGAGGGATGACAGCTGCTTTGCATGCCAGAAACTGAAGATGGAAAAGGGGCTCCAGTCTATCCCTCACTGGATCACTTTGATAATATATTGGAAGAATAGATCCCAAAACAATAATAAGCATACATTTCTGCCTCTCCTGTTATGAGGAGTGTATTCCTCAAAGTTTGGGATGAATTGAATGTATGATTGGAGGAATTAGGAAGAGGGCAAACTGTGCATTTGGCATACCTGTCCATCCCTGCTGCTCCCTCCTGCCTTTACATCCTGTTTGGAGCGTCTCAGCTGCATGCAGCTGCTCCATGTTGGAAACAGAATGCTTGAGCCAAAGACCTTTGCTCCGATCTAGTAAGGCAAGCTACACATATTCTTATCTAGGAGTTTCCCAGCCAGCAAGTCATGCACTTTACCTGTTTCATTTACTTCCCTGTTGCTTCAAAGCTTTGTCACGGTTCTTGCATTGTCTCATCTCCTGCTTCCCACACCCCTGAGAAATTCCACTGAGCAAACTGTCCTCACCCAACAAAGAATATTGGGGCTGAGCAGATTTGAAACTGCACCCCCACATCTTGGGTGTGGGAGGATGTGGCCCAGGAGTGCTTCCCCACCCCTTGGACAAACGGCAGTGTCACCCTCCATAGCATTTCTATCAGAGGGGAGCACCGGCTGCTCTGGTCTGCCTTCCCAGGAACGTTCAGCCCACCGCCCTCCTGTAACGTGGAGGCCGTGGCAATGGACCTATACGGCTCTTGCAGGCTCCACGTCCGAAAGAAATCCCACTACCCAACCCCACTTTGTGAAAAATGGGTACATTTCGCAATGAATCCCCTTTTGTGCCTTCACGCCCTTCATGCCAACTACACATTTCAAGCATGGCAGGCTGGGAGAAAGCAGGATGAAGGTGTGAGGAAGGATGGTTCGAGGGGGATACCAGTTCTTGTGCCTCGGCAGAAATATCTGGGAATAAAGGCACTTGCTGCGTTGGACTAGTTCATATGCAGCGCTTCCCCGCTCTCTCATCGGACTGCAGCCTAATGGTGCTATCCCACGGGCCCTGTTTGTGGGAGAATCAGGGCAGTTCAAAGGAAGAGCTGTTTCATGCGGTATGAAGCTTGAACGTGGAACTCACTGCCATGGGATGTCCGAATGGTCAGCAAGTTGGACAGTTTTAAAGGGGACTGGACACATTCCTGGGGGAGAAGCCCATTCATGGCTACTAGTCCCGATGGCTCTGTGCTTCCCCCCTAATCGGAGGCAGGGTACAGGGAAGTCCAGATAGAAGCTGCCAAGGGTTCTGCTGCCTCCAGGATCCTGGACAACGTAAGCAGGACGGGCTCAAACTGTGCTCACGGCTGGGTGTGGGTTTGCCACAGCTCTTAAATTTTCTGGGGTGTTTTTCACCTCGGGCTCCAACCTCACTCTTCTTTGTGCATTCCTCCAGCCAGGGGGGACTTTTGGAGGCTTCCAAC